TTAGCTCCCCTATCCTCTTCCAATCTCCTAGCCATGGACCTAGTGATGGGTCCTACATGAAGCTCCAAGGATGGTCCTCCATCAGGAACTGGTGGAGTTTCTAATGTTAGATGTTTCAGATGTTAAGTAACGTCACTGTTCATTAATTGCTATCGATATTTGTGCTTTATCCTGACTTGAGCATCGGAGTACCTTTTGCAGGTACCTCCCCATCACCGGAGTATTCGATAGGAGCTCTCATTCGGCCCTCAGAACACGAGAAGATTACTAGTGTACCCTTCGGCAGGTACACTCACTAAATCACAATCTCAACCATTCATTGTTTTTAATATTATATCTATGGTGATTAGGGATGGCAACGGGGTGGGGCGGGTACGGGTTTTATGATACCCGTCCCCGTCCCCGCGAGTCAAATCCATCCCCGTCCCCGTCCCCGTACCCGCCGGGTATGTGATTTTCATCCCCATCCCCGTCCCCGTCGGGTATCGGGTATACGCGTACCCGTACCCGTACCCGTCAATTTTTTTATTTTTTATTTTTTATAAAAAAAATAATATTTTTAAAATTTTTTATTATTATATTATAATTATAATTAAGTTATTTTTCTATCTCATATTATAATAAATAATCACACATAAAAAATATTAATTTTTTTTAATATAATTAAATTAAAAGTGAATATTAAATTAAAAATGAAAACACGGACGGGTACGGGACGAGTAAGTACATACCCGTACCCGTACCCGTACCCGTACCCGATTTAATATATCGGGTTTTACCTGTACCCGTACCCGGTCAAACCGAATATTTCCCGTCAAAGTCGGGACGGGTTCAAGTATTACCTACGGGTACGAGTATATTTGTCATCCCTAATAGTGATTTTAGATGTACCACCCATGAACCACTTGTCCAACTTCACTATCAGAGACATCGCCGCAATCCAATAACTAATTGTTTTCTCCTTAATTTCTTCCAAAAGTGTGAAAACGGATAAACATGAATATTAATACAACAACCCCCTTTTCATACCGGGCCACAAACAATACTTACGTAAGTAATCACTCGAGTCTTATATTTATATAAACCCGTGCTTCAGAAAACAAACTTGACTAAAAATAATCACTAAATCTTCTGACGGAAGAAGTTAGTCTTAAAAAAAAAAAAAAACTGATTTACCAATAACAAGGTTAAAGAAACAGACTCCGCAAACACGATCAAAAGACTCCAAAAAAAAACCAATGACAACAACAAAAACTAGTTTTCTTCAAGTGGCATCTCCCTCATGTTTAACTTCACCGAGAACCTTCACCATCGCATCCAACTCCTTCTGCGAGCTCCCACCCTCTCCAACCGCACGCAACGCAGCGTTTCTCAACTCTTCCGCTCTCACCCTCTCCTTCGTCGACCTCCCCAACGCCCTCTCGATCCTCTTCGCTAACTCCTCCGCCTCCGGCACCTTCTCCTCCCCCTCCGCCGCCCCAACCGCCACACCCAGCTCCTCCACCAGAAGCTTCGCATTCGTATACTGATCCGCACCCATCGGCCACGTCAGCATCACCACCCCCGAGACCAGCCCCTCCAACACCGAGTTCCACCCACAGTGAGTCAAAAACGCCCCCACCGAACGATGACCCAGTATCTCCAACTGCGGGGCCCACCCCTCTATCAGAAACCCCCTCCCCCGCACCCCCACCCGATCCACAAACCCACACGGCACCTTACCGTGCTCCTTCGCCTTCGCAACCCCCACCGATAACACGAAACTCGCCCCACTCAGCTCCAGCGCGCGTGTCAGCACCTCCATTTGATGACTCGTCAGAAAAGTGCGGCTCCCGAAGCAAACGTAAACAACCGAACCGTCTTCTCGCGAGTCGAGAAACCCCATGATGTCGTGTCGCGAAACGGTGCTGGACCCGCCTCGTTCCTCGGGTAATGGGGAAAGCGGCAGAACCGGGCCCACGGCCCAGACTCTTTCGTGGCGGAGTTCCTTCTTCATGTGGTCGAGGTAAACCCGTTCCAAGTCATTGAAGGAGTTGAAAACGACGCCGTGCGAGTCGATGTTGAGAAGTATGTTCTCTCTGTGAAACTCCCATTCGGGGCCACCTCTCTCGGGTTTGGTGAACTGGAGGGTTAACTGGTGCCAGTGGAAAACCGGGGAATTGGGAAGGTTGGGGAATGAAACGACGGCGTTTGGGCCTTGCGGGGTGTCGTTTCGCGGAAGGTCGCGCCAGAGGGAGTATACGACGGAGAGCGCGAAGGCTCCCGAGGGGGAGAAGACGAGACGGGGCACGTGGAGGTCACGTGCGAGGAGGTGGGTCCAGCCGAGGAAGAAGTCGGAGAGGATGGCGGAAGGGGGAGTGGCCTGGGCCTGGGCCTGGGCCCAGTCTAGTATAATGGGGTAGTGGTGTTGTCGCATGAAAGTGACGATGGCGACGAGCCTGTTTTGGTTTGGGTTGGGGAAGAGAGGTTCGGGGAGGATAAGGGTGTGGAGGTTGGGAGGGAAGTTGGTTGGGAGTAAGGGTTGGTTGTTGGGCGTGATGAGAAGCGTGACTTGGACGCCGCGGGAGAGAAGGGCTTTGGTGAGATCCAAGAGGGGGATCACGTGACCCGAAGAAGGGAAGGGGTAGGCCAGCACGTGAGTTTCTGCGGTGGACATGTTTTCTTTCTGGGAAATGAAATGGAACATGGTGCTTAAGAAGAGAGCGTACAATCTACGTTGCCCTTTTCGCTTTTCACTTTTGTCGTCACTTTCGGATTCTACAATCTACTTTCTACTCTCTCTTTTTAGTTACCTAGCATTCTTCATAACCAAAACCTGGATTCCTTGCTTGATGCATATTATTCTCTTCTATAGGAGAGTATTCATTATTTTATCAGTCAATTTTTTATACATCGAAATGGAAATGATAAATGACAGATATTAACTAATAAGATACAATATTATGATACCTTGAATGGAAAGAATTAATTACATTTTTGTGTCATAATTTTAAGCTGGCAAGTATTCTTTAAAAAGACCACCGAGTAAAATGAAATGGAGCTAAAATATCTGACGTTCCCTTTGCCGCTTATGAGAAAAAATAATTATTTAAGTATGTAAAAACAAAAACGATTACTGAAGAGTGAAGACTGAATTAGAAATTTGACACTTAAAAAAAATAGATATAATAAATATAATTTTTTTTTGGTAAAAATACGAAAAATTACAAAGACAGTCGTAACGAAGATTAAATCTAAGTCTTCATGTTTCTAATTACTCCAACTTCTGTTTTACTATTAGCCTAATCCTAAGTCTTAAATATAATATAATATGATAAAAAAGTAAAAATAAATAAATAAAAAATAGTGATATGTATAAAATAATAAGGCTTAATTATCATTGCACTAAAAAGAAAGAAATATATATCCTTTGAAGTTACGTCTCATCTGTATTTTTACTTTACTCCCTATCTCCTATTTTATGTATTTTTTTATAATTTTTTTATTTATTTCAATTTGATTGATGTTTTATAATATCTTTATATATAAAAAAGTGAAGTAGTTCTTTGTCATGTTATAAAATATAATAGTTGCACAAATCCTTTAGGAGTGTTTTTGAATGTCTATTTACTTTCCTATGCCCATATTCCTTATGTATAGATTTCTCATTGTATCAATTTTTTTCAAAAAAATAACTTTGAATGTCTATTCACTTCTTTATGTACATTACTGCATATCCACTATTTGAATGTCTATTCACATCCCACTTATTAACCATATATAAAGATATTATAATCTCTCCTAACATTGTTTCACTATTTAATTAATTTTAATTTATAAGGTATAATTGGATACTCTTCTCATATTGTGTATTTTATAATCTCTCATCTCATAACCACCCACTCTCATCCAATACCCCTTCAACTCTCATAATTTTTTTTCTTTTTAATAGTTATATCTCACAATAACTTCCTTCTACCCTTCCCCTTTCTTACAATGTTTTGTGTTAATTTTTTTAATATCATTTTGTAGATGAATTAATGGTCTGGATATAATCACAAAGAAGAATAACAAATGCTAAAAAATATGAAGAATTGTTTTTCATAGTGAATATGTTTCACAATATGATAGTTTTATATCCGCTTTCTCTATTTTATATAATTATTATATATCGACGTGCTTCATATTCAACATGACTTATACTTTTTTTTTACAGAATATAATTAGGTTGCCTCTATAAAATGTCATGAAATATATATTTTATGTAAAAAAAACTTATGGGTTTCCAAATTATAAATTAAGAATTGTATAAGATATAATAAACATGTTTTGAGTTCCCAATTCAAACAAAATGAGGCTTTCTCAATATATTTTAGCAAAAATACAAAATACAGCATATACTTAATTGAGAATTTTGAAATGTCACATCACATACAACTACATATAGGGAATATAGTTAATTAATTAATTACAACATGCTCTTTCAAGTTTAAATTTTAAATGTAGTATAGCAGACCACTACATATAATTGGAAATATATTTAATTAATTAATACTCAAACTCAAAATTAAATATACATTCATGCTCAGTAATCATCAGGAAACACAACAGAAAACTCAGAAGGTAAAACAGAAAACATTCAAAATTTGCCTGTTTCTCATAGGGTTCCCACAGGAACCCACAGAGCACTCTAATTCATATCAAACCTTGTTTATTTTCAAAGTTTAACACATAGTTACACTCAGCAAACATCAAGGAACACAACAGAAAACTTAGAAGGTAAAACAGAAAACATTAGAAATTTGTCTGTTTCTCACAAGGTTCTCATAGGAACCTATAGAGCACTCTAATTCATATAAAAAATTGTTTATTTTCAAAATTAAACACATATTTACACTCAGCAAACATCAAGGAACACAATAGAAAACTCAGAAGGTAAAACAGAAAACATTAGAAATTTGTCTGTTTCTATAGGGTTTCCCGTAGTAACCTAGAGAAATCTCAAATCATACAATTACAATTCTAAAACTGAAATTAATCATTCATTCAAGCAATTCATATAATTAGTTACATACAAGAAAAATAATAGATGAAACAGACACAATTGGGGAAAATTCCTCATACATGAGCATACAACAAAGGGGCTCAAGAAAAGCTATCCAAGTTGTCAAATCACAAATGTTAATAACCAAGACGTGCTTAACTTCATAAGTGTTTAATCAAACAAGCCTAAACACTTAAGCCTACCATTGGCCAAGCCATTCTTACAAAATCCATTTTTCAAAAAATAAATAATCCCCTCTAAAACACAAACTTTCGAAAAAAAATATATCCTTTCCTTCTTTTCTCTCTTGTCCCAAACGATTTTTGAATAATCTAGTGGAAACCGGGCCAACTTTGAAGGCTGCTGCGGGGCTGAGCGACACTGGAAAGGAGAAACCTCAACCTTTCAATTTTGGGGATTTTGAAGAGATGATTACCTTCTGGGACTGTCAAAGGAACCCGGTGAACACAAACTATGACAAATTTCTGGCGGGAGGTATGAAAAAGAATTCCCATTTAATTTCTTTCATAATTGCTTGGATGTTGAAACCTAGATTACATAATCATGCTCAAATGTCACGGGATGACATTCTGATAATGCATGTTATTAAAAAGAAAATCAAGATCGATTGGGTATCGGTCGTAAATGACTGTATATGGAAAGCTAGGCGGAAGGAAGATGGTCCGATTCTGTATGCTTTGTTATTATCCAAGATTTTTGAGATTGTTGGTGTGGATTTATCTGGGGAAAGAAAAATAATTTTGCATGCTTCGAACAAGATAGAGAATTCTTTTTTGCATCACATGGGAATGCTTAAACAAGAAGACAAATGGGTGTTTAAAGGAGATGTACCCCCTACCCCAGAGCCAGCAACTGATGAAGACGGTATTCCGTCCCATGATGAGGATCAGCCACCACAGGTGGAAGTTGAACCTGGCAGGGAGCCTGAAGCGGAGCCAAAACCGTTTTCACCATTTGAGCAAATCATGATGATCTTTTATTTTTCCTAGGTTACCCAATTTTGCTTGTGGGTTGCCTAGCAGATCTTGCCCTAACTTTTGCGTAGCCCCCTTAGTGGGTTCCCTGCCAGGCCTTCATTTTTTGCAACGCTCGTGAGGTATGAGATGTCTTTATTTTTATTAAACTTTATTCACAGTTTTGGAACGGGCCGTTCTGAATCCAGAACAGGCCGTTCTGAATCCAGAACAGGCCGTTCTGAAAACAAAACGGGCCGTTCTGAAAACAGAACGTGCCGTTCTGGTTTCAGAACGGCCCGTTCTGATTCACTGGTGGTGTTTTAATTTTGCAACCAGAACGGCCCGTTCCGGTTTCAGAATGGGCCGTTCCGGGTCCAGGTGTTTTCAAAAAAATTCTCATCCACGTGAATGCCACGTATGCATTTACGTGGCATCCACGTGGCCAAAAGTTAACTCCGTTTAAATAATTTGGACAGAAATCCCACATTGAAACTAATTAATTAATTTGGGACTAAATTAAAATCAATTAATTAATTTGGGACCAAATTGAGACCAAAAGTTAATGTGGGACTAAATTGAAACAAAAAAAGATTATAAAAAACCAAAATAGGTTTTTAGCCTTAATTAAATCGTGCTCTTTTGAATTTGAATTTTAAATGTAGCATCAATTATATGTAGTTAAAACTTAGAATTCATGTAAACACCATTTTATATAAGCGTGTATTTTGGGAGTTCTTTTTGTTTAAGCAATGAATACTAACCACATAAAAATTTTATTAGTACTTATTTTAAGGTGAAATGACATCCAAAGTTACATTGATAGCAAACATTATTTCGGGCATAATTCAGTGGCCTATCAAGATTTCGTGTGATCCATTTGTGGAAGTTACCTGAATACAAAAATCCGAAAGAAGATGGCAGTCTTGAGATAATATATACTACTTTATTAGAAGGTTTTATTTAACATCTTATTCATTTGTTTTAATTTTATTTTTTAATATCTATTGTAGAGTGGTAAATATTTATGCATCTATAGAAAAGGTTTTGATATCCAGGTTCCAGGACATTTTGAAAGAAGGTAAAACTTATTTGATTGAAAATACTTTGATAGCTTAGAATGATCTAAAATTCAAGACTACAGAATCAAATTCAAATTAAATTTTATGTCAACTATTACATATTTGATGAATATATTAATTGACGTAGTAGTAAAAAAGATAAAAAGTTTAAATTATTAATCCATAAAGACTTGCGTTTATAGTTATTTAATATAATTTTGATACTAAATAAGTAAATTAAAATTAATTAAATTGAATTATGTAAAGAAATAAATAATTGCAAAAATTTAAAGAAAACAATATTTTGGATGAAAATTGATATATAATAAAAGTAGTTAGATATTAATTCACTAATACTTTCCCTAGGTAAAATTCTATATATAAATTTTTCATTCAATTCATAATTAAATAGTTAATTCAATAGTCCACACATGTACTTAATCCTAACTCTTTGGGTGACAAATTTTAGGTTGTTTAAGAAAAATCTCAGTTCTTTAGTAATTTTTGTTAAACAATCCTACATTTAATTTAAGGATTAAAAGTTGATTGATGAGGTTTATTCCAATTCCTTGGTAATAAATGTCATTAGTATTTTTTCTATATCATAGTTTTAA